AGGCGGCATGTTTCTCTGAAACATCAGTAACACTGCTGAGTTCTGTTTTCTGAGACATATTGCTGTTTAGTCTGTTGAAAGTCACCTAACTTTTCAGATGAATGTGTAACCCTCATCTTCAGGGTTGAAGAATAAGCCAAGCAAGTAACCAGCATGAAGCAGGTAGAAAGCAGAGCTTGACTTATTCTTTGACCCTGAAGATGGAGGCGACATGTTCTTTTGAAATGCTGGTTGACCTTCAGCAGACTAAATGGTGTTGTAACTCAGAAGATAGACTTCATCATAACTGCCACTGTGAGAATCTCAAATTCATCAGCAGCCCTGCCCACATCCACACATTGCAATGACCCAAAAGCAGGCTCAACATTGACAATGAACCACTGCATCAGTGCTTTCTAACAGGACCCCACTGAGTAGGGCTTGGGCTTTGACATGTTCTGTATCTGGAGGCGCCATCGGCAAATGTAGATCTGATGAACAAAAATAAATTGAATTGAACTGACTAGGTACCTCAGCTGCTCTTCATCTGGAGAGGGGAACAGTTTTCAAAACGTGTTCTGCTTGGGATAACAAGAGGTGAACAAATCAAGAAACAGCACATATAATATCAAGCATTGTACATTATTATGAGAACCCTTCAGAAGAATTAAATAATTTTTTCAATTTTTTTAACTCTGTCAACTTAATTGTGTAGGGTCTATATTGACAAATTGATAGTTGTTCAGCCAGTAAAGATACTCAGTACTTTTAATGAATCTATAGGATCTTCACCATGTTTACAGAAACCTGCCAATGGACTCAATCAAGAGCCAACTGAATCCAGTTCACACGCTCATGGCCTATTAATTTATTATTAAACAATAATCTTCACATACACATCAAGGTCTCCAAAGTCTTCCTGCCTTTTACCATTTGTATACACTTCCCATCTCTGTAGTTTGTGCTACATGCTCCACCCATTCAACATCCTTAATTCAGTCACAGTCAACAACATTTCTTTAAGAATACACATTGTGAACCTCCTTACCAAGCAAATTCCTGGCATTTGTTTCTAAAACACTCTTAACTATTTGAGGTCCTAACCTAGATTCATTCTGGCTTATTAACATTATACTTAGCATCCTGTTGCACTCTGTATTCAAACTTTGTGTTCTTATTCATTGCCGTCTTTGTGCATCTTCATCAGTATTTTAATATGCACACTTCAGCATCTTGTTCTCTTCTCATTAAACAACACTACACATTTTGACATAACTGGCCATCATCAGAGGTATAAGATGTTGGAGTAAAGGAACCTGCTGCTCTGTTATCATGCTGTTCTGGTTTACATTTTCAGGTAAAATGCTTCTAAATTATTCTATTTTGGTTACTTTTAGATTTTTGTGCTGTTACTTTATTTGTATGCACAAGTCTGGTACATGGTTTGTTGATGTGTTGGTTTTATTTTGTTGTGCTATGTTAGGCTGAAACATGTAGTGTTGTTGTATAATGAGAAAACATGATGTTGTAGTATTTATATTAACATATCAATGAAGTTGCACAAGGATGGCAAGGAGTAAGAGCACAAAGTTAGCTGGCTCATTATATATTCTGTTGTGGTTAACACAGATTCAATACAAATTTTCTATTACACTCTCATGTTGGTCATTGTCCAGACTCACTTTGGCATTTTTTTTTTTTTTGCTAGTTAGGAATGAAACTGTGCTATGATTTCCATGCAAAAATAACTGGATATAGTGCGACCACATAGGATAAAAGAATAGAACCTTGAATGATAGAAAAACTACAAATTATTTTTATACCAAAGTGTCTGGAATGTTTTGCTAAATCAAATTGTAATAATACATTTTGTCATTCTTTCTAGAGTTGTACTCTTTTTGCATCTGCTGTTCCATTATTCTAAATATTATAGAATGCAGCTTTTTCTTTGAACTTACATACCTTTTGTTCTTGTCTTGATTCTAGACACATCATGCTCAGCAATCTTGTCATAGAGGGGGAAAATTTGTGTTTCAGATAATGCTATTCTAAGAGTTGTGCTACCAAAATCTGAACTACCAGCTGACAGGTACACTCACCAGTTCTTAATTTGTTATAATTTGTTATTATAATAATTTCCAGAATAAGAGGCTTATAATAATTTCTTCATTGTGTGCCTGTGTCACCATCATAATCAGATTGCCTACTTTGCAGAACCTTGCAGTACCAGGCCTGCTTCCACAGCGCATTTAATTTAGTTTTGATAACAGTGATATCATATACTACTCTGTCCAAAAAGCATCCGACCTTGGGCCAGGTAAAAAAGTTCTGTATCTGGGTGGTTACAATACCTAGTCCCCTTCAAAGAAGGCCCCTTATGACTCCACACACTTAGCCCAGCGATCCTTCCATCACTGGAAGCAATTCTGGAAGGCTTCTTTTGGAATGGCGTGCAACTGCACCGTCGTGTTCTGTATGATGTCCTCACGGCTGTCAAAACGGCAGCCTTTTAGCAGTGTCTTCAATCTCGGAAACAGCCAGAAATCACAAAGAGCCATGTCAGGAGAGTAGGGAGCCTGGCAAACTTGTGGAATGCCGTGCTTGGCCAGGAAACCCTGGATCAGGTGTGATGAATGAGCTGGGGCGTTCTCATGATGCAGCTGCCAGTTGCGTGCATTCCACAGCTCCGGTCTCTTGCGCCGAACTGCATCATGAAGATGGTGGAGGACTTCTTGGTAGTACTCCTTATTGACAGTCTGGATTAGTGGTGTGTGCTCATGATGCACAACACCCCAATAATTGAAAAAAAAACTGTCAGTATCACCTTCACATTGCTCTGAACCTGTTGTGCTCTTTTGGGCCTCAGGGATGTTGGATGCTTCCATTGTGACGCCTGGACATTGGTTTCCGGGTCATATCCGTACACCCACGACTCGTCACCAGTGATCACAGCCTTCAGGAACTCAGGATCCCTGTTGGCGCACTCCAGCATGTCCTGCATGACCTCACGGCAGAGTTGTTGCTGCTCCGGCGAAAGCAGCTTGGGCACAAATTTTGCCACCACTCTTCACATGCCCAAATCCTCAGTTAAAATTGTGTTTGCTGAACCTCTGATGATCCCAACCTCATCAGCAACTTCACAGATGGCCAAACGACGGTCCTCCATGATCAGTGTCTGCACTTTTTCAATGACATCAACATTCACGGGCTCCAGGAACGCTGCTCACTGTCTGCCGACATACGGCCATGTTTAAAGCAGTTCAATCACACTTTAATTTGAGTGACCCCCATTGCATCATCGCTGAAAGCCTGCTGAATTTTTCGAATTGTTTCCGCTTGGGTATCCCCAAGTCTCTGACAAAACTTAATGCAGTATCGCTGCTTCAAGCATTCTGTCGTCTTGAGCAAAACGAGAATGCAATGAACATGTGTTACACCATTTCGCTATCTGGCAGCCACAGACACATCCAGCAGTGTTGTGAGTCAGCAAAAAATCACACATGCGAATGAAAGTCCCTTCTACCACTACGCTTAGTTTCCCCACCCCTTTGGCCATTACTTACAGCGGAAAAAAATAAAGTTGGATACTTTTTGGAAAGGCGGTACTTTAACCACATGATTCTCAAACTGTGTTCTGTGAAATACCCACGTTCATCAAGAGCTTTCTGGGGATCCCACTGATAAATATCAATATAATTCTGCATGAAGTACTAGAATACTGTATAACGTATTCATATCATGAAAGATACACACAAATAAACTGGGTACCCAATACAGTATTATGCAAACTTTCTGTTTAAAACTGGTTAAGAGAACAGTGTCACCAGACTGTGAATGTTGTAGTGTATGCAAAACTTATCTTGTAGTACATTTTGGCAGTTTCGTCAATCAATAAAGTGAAATTTCATTTAGAGGTTAGGCAGGGCCCCAATGACTTGCCTGTAAGCTGTATATTTCATGTTATTTAATTTTTATATCATTTAAAAATAATCTGACAATTTTTATGAGCTATTTCAAATCATTTTCTTACATATTTAGAAATTAAGTTTTCAAAGGCATAGCTACAATATGTAGTACTTTTATAATATTTCCACCATAATTGTTTTACAATTAAAAGACTGGTGTAAACAGGTAAAGTTATCCTTATACTTAATTAAGAAACTATCAACCAAACTGTCCCACCAGAGATACTTTTGAATGCACAGAATGTTTCTTCCTTGAGGATCACCGCTCAAAGATATACTCTCACAGATATTTTTGACAAAATTTATGAGATGGTATATTTGACAAAATTATATAATTTGTCTTGGAAGAATGCTGAGTATGATGAAGATGCAGACAGTCTCCACAATACCAAAGCATCGTTCTGCATAAGTCCTGAACATCAGAGAAGATTTCTGTTTTTTTTCCAGCACCCTTATCTATTACAGAATAATGTGATGGATAGCAATATAATAAATTCAAATTCAAACAATCACCAAATTAACAATATATATTAAGAGATATTATAACCTCCTTTTCTACAGGAACATTCCCAAGAAATAGGTATTAGCTTGGAACAACTCTGATTTGGCATATGCATTACTATTTCTCTTCTTTCATTTCTACTATTACTTACAATTACTTAAATCTTTAAGGTAACAGGACATAATAATGCTTATTATTAAGGCTCTGAATTATTGTCTTACGTTGTCTGAGAATGAGCGAATGAATGAACCACCCCTAATATGTGAATGATGCTTACTTAGATATATCCCCATGGATATATTGTAAAAGCAACTGCTTAGTGTGAACTCTATAAGGTGACAAATGGTTATGTTTACATTCAAACAGCTTCAAAAATATTTAAGCCATACAACATATTTATCTTTCTGTTGCCCTAATGACATCATAAATCACTAAGACAAACATTATATTTATGCATATTCACAAATTAAAATATTTATCAAACCAAAATATTTCAAACAATGTATAATGATTCCATATTGTATATTACCTGTAACAGCCCAGTGAGTTGATCAAACACATTGTCAAATACTTCCATCAAATCACTCTAACATGGCAGTATTACTATAGAACAATCTTTCCTAATAGCTATTTAGAAATGCTATTTTGGTATAGATAATAATGAACTCAATGCATTTGATTTACTTACACACATGCTTCAGTTCTGTGAGATTTGAAAACAGTTCTGCATTCACTCCCTTTTTCCATATTATGGTACCTAAATTGTGTGGAGCATGAGATCTGAGAAGGAGCTGGAATTAAAAACTTTAAATTCACTTAGAAGACAAATGACTAACCCCAAGTTTCCTGTAAGGCTTTCATCTTGCAACCACTCTATTTTACAGAAATGTACTTATAATGTTAAATGTCAAAAATCACATTTAGACTAAGTAATAACAGAAATGTTAGATATCAATAACTACTGAACCTTTGATGCTGGAAATTCATATATGCAATATATAAAAAAATCCAGACGATGGACAAAGTCCGAAAACCCAATATCTCTGTATAAAAAAATCTGTTTATACCTCATAGAAAACACACTATATCTCAAATGGAAATACCAACTGGTTGATGTTGTTTAAGTAAATAACCACCAATACAAAACACATAAGGACACACTGTGGGAAGAATGCTGAGCTTTTAATGTTATAGCAGGTAGTACACATAGTACACTGGATGTTAAGGTTGAAAGCCAACACAGTGGCTAGTTTCAACATAGTCACCTTCATTTTGTCATTCTTGCAGTAAAACATTATCAACATTAAGATATTAATCATGACCAACTACTCTCACAGACTTGGTTACCTCTGGTGTTCTGAACTGAGTAGCACACTTAATGGCTCAGAACCACTTTCAGTAACTTCCAAGCTACAAACAAGATTTATCAACAGTTCTATCTTCTGGAACATAACATCATGCAGTCTGCTGAAAGTCAACTGACTGCTTGCCACCTATTTTCACATTGGATTTTTGTTTGGCTTATTTTTTACATTCAAGATGGAGGTGACATATTCCCCTGAAACGCTGGTTGACTTTCAACAGACTACATGGTATTACATCGGGGAAGATAGAAATCTTCATAACCACCACTGTGAGAACCTCAAATCCTCCAACATTTCTCAAATTTCAGCCAATTCTTCTTCCTTGCATACCTTCAGTGCAAGGCATTATTGATGAAAATCATCTTATCCTGCCATCTCTTGACAGTCTTAAGCTACTCCCAGTATCTAACAAACAGCAGTTTATAAGTTATCATGAAAACATTATACAAAAGAATGTCATAAGACCCATGGCTTTTAAGTGTCTGAATGAAGACTCTGTGGATCTCTCTGATCTTTACTGTGCTCATGGGCCAAGCTCCCTGATGCAACAAAATACATTAATATTAGTGTACAAAGTCGTGAATGATGTTGACTTATTTCTAGAAGTGCTTATGTATGTGAAATGTGGACTATTTTCCAAGTAACAGGGACAAGAGTGTTTCTCAAATAACTACAGAATCTTCAAAAAAGACATAGTAATTACACTTGAGTGAACAAATTTCATGTCACAGAATACATAGCAGTTGGAAGTTTATCAGTTAATGATACCCCCTGGAAGTTGAAAAATTAAAGGCAGAAATCACAATGGATTTTGGAAGCATCACTAAAGAAACAATGGATGCAGTTATGAAAAATTTCAAAATGATTTTCTGCAAATTAAATTGGATGCACAAGGATCACACATTGAACCTACTTTAACACAAATAAAATCTCCAGTACTTAATTACCACCATGATACAGGAATGAGTGCTGTTAAGTTCAATACAGGCATTGAAATATACCACATCTTTCTGATGATCCTGTGTAAAGCCCATGCAGGCAAATGGTATAAAACATACCTTAAAATAATTTTTGAAGCCCAGATTTTACTAAAATCAAAATATATTAAAAGCACTTAAAAATTCTTATTCTTCATTATATGAGTACATTGCTGTCTATACAAACTAATACAAGATAGTAAGACCACATTTCTTCTCTAGCGATATCAGAAATATGCTTTATTTGAGGGAAAAAGAGGATGTCATTTTGTCTGTCCATCAGCTTCTCCTCCTCCTCATCTTATGACTGTGCTGTAAATGAATAATGTATAGATGTGCGAAGTATTCTGAATTGTATATACCGAACTCCCAGTGAAGTGTAACTCGGCCAAGTGATATCAGAATAGAAAATGAGTTAAAATATGTCAACCAGTTGATGTTAAAAAAAGCACAAATAAATTATTTTTCAAAGTGCAGGATCAGAAACCAACCAACTCCTGGTAGAAATATGAGTACACAAGAATTTAAGGGCCTCGTGTCCCTAACCCCATCTTACATAATATAGAAAAGCATCCAGAGATTCTGAAATTCTTCTGAATCTTAAAGAATATAAGAACCCCAGGGTGCAACACTGCATTTTACTCATACGTAAATATAGTATTCAGGGTGAGAATGCAATGACTGCTCTCCTTAATCCACCCTTACTCATATCCCTGATCTTTTCCTGCCCAAAAGGGAAACTCTTTTTTTAAGATTCAGTCATAACAACAGATTTCATAATATCCAACATGTTTTAGTAGTTGCTGGGGCACTCTGGTGGATTCAGGTCACCAAACACATTGAGTTCATACAAACTCGCAAACGTTATAAACAAGAGATACCATACCATGAGAATCAGACCGTATTTCTTGTCCAGCTTCCAGCCATTGAGATGCGTTGCCACTACTAGAAACAGGACAGTTGAAAGCAGAGACAAAGTGGAATATGTAAGACCTGCAAGAAACAAAGCTGCTCAAAAAATGAACACAAAATTGGAAGGCATAACTATCTAGCTAGCTAACTAAATAAGTCGGTAGATAAACTATTTTTTATTGCTAGTGGTGTGGGACTAAGTCCCTTGTACTGCGGCCACTTCTGGCCTATTGTACCAGCCCCAGATGATAGTGATTCTGGAGCAATTGGTGGAATGAAGATTGGCAGGGGAAACAGAAGTACTCTGAGAAAACCTGCCCCAGCGTCACTTTGTCCACCACAAATCCCACTTGACCAGACCCGGGATCAAACCCGGGCCCCCATGGTGGGAAGCCAGCGACTAACCACTTGAGCTATGGCGCAGCCCTAGATAACAAACTAACCCCATAGTATTTGATCTTTCTTGAAAATTCCATAGGCACTCAGCTGGCCAAAGTGTTATGTTTTTATGAAACCTGAAGGTTCACCATCACTTTCACAGAAGCTTGCTACTGGTTCTTATCTTGAAGCAACTGAATCAAGTCCACACTCTGGTTATGAATACAGCCTATCTCCCTGAAATATATTCTAATATTATCACTCTATCTATGCAAAGTCTCCAGCGTGGTCTCTTCCTTTGTGACTTTGTGATTGACATTCTTATGTATTTCTCATTGTACCCCTGCATACTAAATCCTCTGCCTCTCCAAAATATCCACCAAAGTTTGAAGTCCTGTGTGACATTTCACAATAAATGGTTGTTACCCTAAACCAAGTCCTTGAACTGGGGGACTACTTCTTGCAACTACCCTCTTATCTGGAGGTCTTCTAGTCAATCTGCAACCATGTCAGTGGGCTATAAGTCTGGGAGATGAGCAACCATTCTCCTCCTATCTGCAAAACTACTGAGCAAATGGCATGGTCTTAGTGAAGAGGGCAGCTTGTTGTAAAGTACTTGTGCATACCTTTACTGTAGACATTAACATGGGACCCTGGTTTGATGATGGCAGTCTGAATGAACCAAGGTAGTCCTAGACAGATCAGTATGTCAAAGACATTGGAACCGACAGCATTGGAGACTGCCATGTCCCCATAACCCTCCTTGACAACAGCCAAACTGGATAAAGCATCTGGCACACTGACACCTGCAGCCATGAATGTCAGCCCCATCACTGTGTCAGGGATGCCAAGGGTGCTGCCTGTTGGATATTAAGAGAACTACATGCTGCCTGTTGTCAGCTGGAACCTGGTGCATCAAGATGCATGACAAGCTCACAAATCAAATTCAGAATTGCGCAAAAATTGGTAATGAACTAGCAATCCAATCATCAAACTAACCAACCAATTCTTTTGTATATCATAATAATCATTGACAAAACATCCCTTTTATGAGTTATAGCATTCCTTAGAAGATTCTGTCAGATCTTTCCTGCATTAGACCACCCAGTTTTCACAACTTTGGACTTCAAAACAATTCTTTTTCATACAGAGCAAGGATATAAGCCTTGCGACCAACCACACCCCCCAAGGATCTCTTGGGTATATAATATATATTGTACACATTTCTGGGCATGCCTTTAGTGGTCACAAACCCAGTCTTACAAGATGTAGCTTTGGAACTCAATCTTTCGTTTCAACTTCTGAGGACAATATGCCTTCACTTTTCTTCTCCTGAACTTTATGGAGAAACTTCTGCCACTTATGCAAAATGTTCGGAATTTCACTGATTACTCTGGTGACAGCAGTTGAATCATATACTTGGTTACAAAGGTGACAATGCCTTAACTAATCTTGGTTCCTAGGACAACAGCAAGGTACAACACTGATTACTACAGCAACAGCGGCACAGCATGTTACCATGTTCATAGCAGCTTCAGACACAACCACTGGTACAGTTACCTTCCTACTACAAATATTTGCTACCAAAAGACACATTCTCACCTATAACTGTAATCATCCACACCATGATATAGGAATAAAATGATATCCAAATCATGGACATGAGGAAGGTGAAGGGGTACCAGTGTCGCCAGCGTTCCTTCTTGCAATCGGGTATCGTGGCACGACAGAGGGCATGGATCGGCACAGTGATGCCCCAAGACACCTGAGCCCAGAGACCACCTTCAGTGGGCTTCACCAGTGGTGACACTTCTTCAACAGGGCGACTTTCCTTCGGCTTGTAGTAGTCAGTAGTGACTGGTAGTGGAGGAACTAGTGGTGGCATTCCTGGGGCTCCCTGCTGCTGCTGTGAAAGTGCACCGGGCTCTCTATCTGCTGGACAGCAGACAACTGTCATCATTTGCACAGACGCAACACACATATTGAAGAGGAGATTAAAAGTAGAAGTAAATTTGGAAGTAAAGAACAATTTAATGAGTGTTTTGAATGAAAATAATTACAGAAGAAGACTGTTAAGAATGTGCAAGTACAGATAAGACAAAGCTGTCCCCAGTGTTTAATTAAGCACCATGCCACAGACATGTGGGGGATTCAACTACAGCTCCACACATTCTTGGCTTCAGCATCAAATGAAGGTGAGTGGTCAGCTTCATTGCTTGATCAATTTACCCCTAGGACAATAGCCTCTGGTATTCTCATGATGGGAGGCTATGAAGGCCATGATGCTAGTTGGGTGCATTGGGGCCCTTGCTGGAGGTCGAATCCAAATTCCTCAGTTGTCTAGCCCACGTGCATGAGCAATTTTGCCTTCAGATTCAAATACATAGCTATCCATTAAGGGCATGAGCAGCCTTATCACTCATGGAGCTGTGATTTTTTGTAACAAGCTTATTGTTTAAGATGATGAGTTGTTAGCCCCACGCTCAACCCACAAGCTAGATGATCACCCCTTGTCTGCTGTCCATGACTGCTTATTTAATACATTAGCAGCTATCCTCTATATCTGGAGGCCGTCTCCTCCATCCAAAACCTGAGGACACACCATGCCATGGTGACAAGGGACCCACATAACATGGCGGGCAGCCTCATAAAAGCATCATAAGAGGCAGACTTTGACTGGAATCACAGACCACATCATTTATGTATAACTATACTGACCTGTCTCTGTGCTGAAGTTGAGTTTGTTATCAACCGAAGTTAGAGGCGGAGTGGTGTAACTTGGTCGGCGTGAACGGTCTTCCTCAAGGTGTCTATATGAAACTATCGCTGATTCTTCCTCTGGCAAAGTTTGACGACATGGTACTGGTAATTTCTGTGCCCATTTTTCAATTCTTGGATTATAGTGTAACACCAGGCAGTAGCCAACATACATCAGAAGCATAAACAACGATTCCGGCCTGTGGAATCACAGAGTATAGTCAGAACCGAGGTGATCTGCAATATCCAAGTTTACTGGATGACTGTCAGATCTAAGACCATCCCCACCTTTCTCCAGTAAGGAAGTGACAGTATTCTTAAGGTAAACTGAGTTACTAGCCTGTATTGGCATTGCAACTTACGATTGCCTCTTCACTGTGAGCAGGTCATTTGACATGTTAATACTCAGTCCTTGATATCAGCCACTGACTGGTAACCAACACAAGATTGGGGGGGGGGATATTCTTGCAGAGAGAGAAGAGACTCTTTTCTTAAAGGAAGGGTGGAAGTGAAATTTCAACTAACAGTTCACGTATTATCGAATGTTTTAGAGCCACTGGCTATGCTCTACCTGCTATGTTCCCTTCCATTTGTAGACTCTTGAGGCTGGGGTGCCATCATTGACAGTTTAAAAATTGGGGAGACATAGATTGCTAGTGTTTGACTTGCCCCAGCATTCTCAAAATCTGTTACCATTAAAAAATTTGAGTTTTTTAAAACAATGTTTATGTTACAATTATTGAGTTTTTGGACATTTTCTATCTTCCTGGTTTTTATTAAAATACAGTGTTTTTGGAGACTGGATTCTGTCTCTGTCCTAGCAATAAAAGACTACTCAGTTGGGGCCCAATCAGTAGAGCTGTTCTCTATCTCCAGACTAGTTCTACCAATTGGGCCCAACTGAATAGATTTCTACCAGAGGTTGATGACAGAATCCAGTCACCGAAATGTAGTGTTTTAAATAAAAAAAAAAATATGATGGTAACTTCCAAAAACTCAATAATAGTATTAGAAGACTATCATTACAAACTTTAATTTTTTTTCTATTTCATGGTAGTTCTGTACTTTTATAAACATCAGTACCACGAGAAATTTAGCGATGCAGAAAAATTTGAAGTTTCACATATTTTAAATTTTGGCTTTATGAGTTATGATACTATGTGTACCAGCATGAAGTAAAATTTCAGACTCTTTATACACGTATATATAATTTGTGACATAGTAAGTTGGCTTGGTGTGGTAACACTTCTAACTAGTGTTTGGGAGGTGACCAGTTCAGATTTTGGCCAGGGTACTGGTTATCCTGACTGATAATTGTATGGCTTTCTTCAGTCCCTCCAAGCAAATTCCTGGATATCGCATCAATTCAGGCCATGATCACTTACTTCCAAATCTTTTCAGATTCACTGTTCACAAATTAGGATCATTAAATGTATGTCAAATAAAGATATTCTTAGTTTTTATTACTCTCTGTATTTTTTAGTTTTATGTGAATCAGTGCCAGTAATGTGAACCATTCTGTACTGTTACATAAGCTACATAATATGAAGAGCAAGAGCAACCAATATTCTGTAGAAGAGTTTCCCAAATGTTTCAGATTTGAGGTTTCAATGGCAGCAAATGTGTCCACACCATGTGCCTTCCATTGTGTGTGAGTGGCCTGTATTTAGTAATGGGATCAAGAAATTAACAACAGATGGCAGTGATCCACATACCATGATATCATTTCATTGTAGATGGTGAAGAGCATAACTAGGATGGACAGTGCATAGAAGAAACAGTCTCTTATAAGTGGCCACCAGTTGAGATGGCACACAGTACCAGCACACAGCGCGCACACCGAAATAACAAACATGATGTTGAAGACAGCTGACCCAATCACTCCACTGATACCGATGTCATCTTTTGCAAAGAACACTCCAATGACCACTGTTGCCAGTTCTGGAGCAGAAGATCCTGCTGCCATGAAAGTGGCTCCAGCCACATCAGGAGACAGTTTGAGTTCTGCAACATTCACATGGCCAGGCAGTCAGGCTCATAGAGAAATGTTACATCATAGGATCAAATTCCTGTTTAATTGGGATAACATGTGATTACATTTTAAAATAATTACACATACATTTCTCAAAAATGTTTAAATATTATATCAGTTATGATTTGCTCAAGTTTTCTGTGGATCCAGGATGTCAAGCATTACAGTGACAACTTATAAAACAGTTGACATTTCTAATGGTCTTTGTGTGAGTCTGTGTATGATTTCCACCTGATGATGTTCAATTAGTGACCAAAGCCTACAGAGGAACGGAAAGCATCTCACAGAACAAGGACTCTGTGAAGGTGTAGTGACATCATTTGTACAGTGACTGTGTTACAGATGAACAACTTTGTGTCTGTTTTCCAACAGGGAACTTTTCTCTTCTTCACAGCATCCAGACTAGCCTTGGGGCCCATCATTCTTCTATCCGTTATTGTACGTGGAGCTATTTACTTGGGGGTACAGTTACCAGCATGAATATGAAAACTGGAGATTCAGCCAATTCTGGTGTTGGTTAGGCATATACTCTCTAAACCGAAAACATGCACGATCCTGGTGCCTGATTCAAAGGTCTGTTTCCATTCTAGTAACTTGTACTTTTGGAAAGAATAGTAGAATTCCTCCTTTCTCACCAAAAAATCTTAGCCACTCATTCAAGGACAGCTTTCAGATTCATGCTGGCAAATGTAAAATGGCCATAGCATGAAGCTGATCATTCACATTCACCTACTGCAGAGATTAAGAATGTGTACAATTATACCACTGGTCCCCTACACTTCATGATGTGGTGCTTAATTCAGCACTGCTTCTGTGTAATGTAATATATGTAGCACAATTCGATGATAATCTATGATCAAAATTAGTGTTTACATAATGAAATCATGAATACATGTATAGTATTTAATTTCATTTCTACTTTGTATTGGCAGGTCCCGGGTTCAAATCTCAGCCAAAAGAGTTGCCCTCCTGACTGAGGTTTTCATGGATTTTCTGAATCTCTCCAAGCAAATGCCAGGAGAGGATCTCAAATTAATAGACCATTGACACTATAGTTAAATAGGCGATAAATAAACAAATTACTTAATTAATCAATAAACATGTAAACAAATTATTAAACACAGAAACAGGATTAATTAAGCAAATGAATGGAAAATTTAAATATATCACTAGATTAATAAAGATAAACATAAATAAATACATAAATAAGATCATCTGAGCCACATTCTTAATGTGTCTGAAGTACTAGATATAGTCAGAATTGCTCAGGCAGTATAATGACAAACTACGGGCTGGGCGACTGGGGTTCACTTCCCGACAGAGGCAAGAGATTTTTCTCTACTCCATAGCGTCCAAACCGGGTTTGGGGCTCACCAAACCTCCTATCCAATGGATATCGTGTGGCTATTTCGGCGGAGTAAAGCGGCCGAAGCGTGAAGCTGACCACTCACCTCCACCTAGTACTGAGGTCAACTGTGAAGCTCTACCTCCACTCTTCTATATCTCCATGGCATAGTGCTTAATTAATTAAGCACAGGGACAACTTTAACTTTTTAACCTTTCTGAAGTACTAGATGTAAAAGATCCGGAATTTCTGCAAACAGTTATCACTACCTTCGCATATTCTATCCAATGAAGACACAAAGTAATCATCACACACAATTGCAAGTCCCAGAAATGTATATACAGCTGCCAGGACATGTATGATGAGTCCTCCTGACTTTCGAGCCTTTGGACCCATAAGGGGCACAGGAAACTGCTCTATAGCCGGAGGCGTGCAGTTCTGTCGGCGAGGATGCACTGTAGGGATCCCTCTTTGGTGAGCAGGTTTTGTGGGCTCAACAGATGTGCTCTCCACACTGAAGGTAGCACTTTCTTCAGGGGCCTAGGGAGAAAACAAAATTTTACTGAACAGGTTCATATAACATCAGAAACGTAGGAGATACCCAGTTTCAATCTTCGCCATGTTACTCACTGTGCAAGAGCTGAGACAAGCCTGCCAGTAAAGTGCAAGGCTTCAGTCTGGACAATCAAACTTACATTTATGATATTGGGCAGAAATTTTTGTCTTTGCCACCATTACATCCAGACCAGTTTTCGAATTTCCAACCTCCTAGCTAATGGGCATTACAGATCTTCCCAGATATTAAGTGGCTGGTTCATGAAGCTGACTTTCACTTAGAACCAAATTAAAAAAGTCTGGAGTTTACCGCCATTCCACCTTACATCTTCATGGCCTGGCAATGTAGCATAAGGAAATCATCTGTACTGGCTCTGCTAAGATTCATTCTCCTCTTGTGAATATTGGAATATACTGTCTTCAATGGACCACAACAGCCTTCTTCCAAACCATTAGCCACTCACATTTCACAATTAACTTTTCAATTAATCTGCATAACATTCAGCAGCTGGTAAGTTGGATGTATGTAGTTAATTGAAGGCACTAAAGGGAACAGGGCCATCAACAGCCTTACTCTGATTTGCCAGAAAGTGTAATTTTTTAGAATAAAGGAATTATGCTTTATTCTTTAAGTTTTGTGGTTTTTGCGATGTATTTTACATGAGAGTGGAGGAATTATGCTTTCCTCTTTAAGTATTGTGATCTTTGTGGCTTATTTTACATGGAAATGGCGGTATTATGCTTCCTTCTTTAAGTGTTATGACCTTTTTGTGGCTTGTAAGATTTTAGATTTTCACGGCGGTGATCATGAAAAATACCGTCTTCTGGGATGTGACGCTGTGTAGATATTGTGTAAACCGATGTTTCGGAGAACGTATTGCCTCCATCTTCAGGGTATAAAAATCAGCGAGCGAGGAACCAGAGTGAGCAGGCGCTACATCCCAGAAGACGGCATTCTTCATTTTTGTGGCTTATTTTAGAACGCCGTCGAGATTGCATAGTAGATAGGGTTCAATGGAAGTATAATTGGTGAGCAATGGATTGCAAAGGATGTGGAAGGAAGCAGTCATTGCCTAATGAAAGTAGTATCCCGAAATTTGCCTGAAGGGACTTCAAGAAAACATGAAGAACCTCAGTCAGGGCAGTCCCAGCCAGGATTCAACTGAGCACCTCAAGAATACAATTCTGCAGGTCTACCACTACACTGAAATGCTCAGTTTGTTTTTGTAATTGAGTGGTTTACTCTCTCCTTTTCCTAGGCATTTTTCACAAAAGAAATCAATAATATATTTGAAGAGATATTGAATATAAATGGGAGACATGGCATCAAATAAAAAATGTCCTGATTACGGTTGTCTGGGAGTTGATACCTGAAGACCACACAGCGTCATAACCCACAAAATCATAATACATTCACCAATGTGGAAACCCCCGATGTAACAGATTATGCTGCCATAAAAATTACAATATAACAGGGTTTATGTGGGGAGAAAATTCTGGTAGAGAATAGAATATTAACTAAGTCAGTTCTAATTTCATATTTAAATTGGTAGAAGTGATTAACCTTTTCGTCTGTGGGGGCAGCACTGGGGATGCCAGTAACATCAATGGCGCCGCCGTTGGAGGCCACATGGAGCACCAGAGTGTATATGAGCACTAGACCACATGTCACCTGCCACCGTTCCCGCCTCAGCCGATGTCTAGTCCTCCTCATATTCTGCAAAGAAACAACGATAGAGTCAGACTGAAGGTGACATCGAATATACTCCATCTACTGTAGGAACGTGGGTACGCCATTGTGATTTAGTGACGTAGACCGTTACGTCATGGTCAGAAAGTTACTAGATTCTGGATTTGAGGTCCTCATGGTAATCGTTATGAAGAGTGTGGTGTTCTGGGTTGTGACGACGTGTAGTTCTGTGAGAGTCCAACGTTTCGGAGAAACATATCACTTTCTCTTCTGTATCAATAAAAAAGTCAAGTAAGAAACAAGTAGAAGCAGGCAACAAGATAAGCTTACCTTATTTTTCGACCATGAATATGGAGGGAAATACATTCTTCCGAATCGTTTAACTCTCTCCTAATTACAAGGCGTTGAAACGCTGAAGATGTTATTCGCCTCACCAGATATCATTTTCAATATTCTTCCGGTACTCATCCCTCACAACTCACCTCTACCTGGAACCTCTTCTTCTAGCTACAGGGCCGACTTCATGGTCTAGCCATGTAAATGACAGTAACAATTACATGTGCCATCTGCTTTGCCACGAAAGGTCTAAATCTACCCAGTAAGTGCATTTATGTGTTACGTGTCATTCTCACAGTAATCAGCGATTATTTCCCTAAACAGCATTAATCGGTTTACCTTTATAACGGACACGAAATGCGTTTACTACGAGGTGGGAAACAAACTTGACACTATCATTTAACTGAATTTAATCCTCCAAACCGAGCGGGTTGGCATAGCGATAACGCTCTAGACCTTTATCCGAGAGGTCCTAAGTTCGAATATCGGCCTAGACACTGCTTATCCTGAGGATTTCGTGACTTGCTCAGTCCCTCCTGGAAAATGAAACCTCGATTTAGGCCACGACCACTTTCTTACAATCCCTTCCAATTCATCATTCATCGACCACCCTGTCATTCCATGTTTACAATTTAGCTACTGATGGCGCCCTAAAATAAATCACAAAAAAAGTTAATGTTTCATAAGTTTAACCCTTCAAATGTCTGTGGTTGATATATGTACCACCCACTTTAAAATACAAAACTTCTGCGTTGTGCCCACAGAGTGTGCAGTTGTACGGTTCTCACAGTAAACAGCGGCTGTTTCCCTGAACAGCTTTAACCGGCAGGACTCTGTAGAGGAGACGTAATGTGTTTCCTGTGAGGTGCGACCTGAAGTGCTAATATGAGGAACCGGTTCACGTGGACACTAGTGTATTCCTGTGGAGATGACGTCCTCGTCGCTGCGCCGTGGGTCAGGCCTCGCGACCCACCGTAGAGGCTTTGAAGAATATCCAGTGGAGGCGAGAGGCAGAGAAGAGATCAATAACAAACAGCAGCTGTAACGACACGAGATCATACCAACATGGCAGCCTCCACCGCGTTCTCCATCTCACCTTACCACCTAATTATCTAACTCCGTGGGAAATTGCAATTGCTTCGCTAGTCAGAAAAACAAAACAAAAATCCTCGAGCTCTAAGAAACTTGAGGTTCAGTATTTCACAAGAACCGGTAATGTGACTCCATCTGAAGACAGAAATGAATCTACATCCTCTCATCCGGTCTTACTAAGATCCATTTCAATATTATCCTACCATCTACACCTAGGTCTTCCAAGTTGTGTATGCATTTTTCACCTACCGAATTTTTCCAGTACGTCATTTAACGACACTTTCAATATGGCGACTACATAGTGTTGAATAATTGTATGACTAATGAAAGATGAATTGGAAAGGATTTGGAATGAAGCGGTCAAGGCCTGATTTAAGTACTATTGAAGAATTTGCCTTGGGGAGGGGGCTGATAATCGCGTTCATGCATGCTGCATATCCCGGCAATCTCAGCCTACTTCATTTCATCACCCTAAGAATATTTAGTGATGTACGAACTACGAAGCTCCTCGCTGTGTAATTATCTCCATTCTCCTATGTAACACCTTCCTCCAGTATTCTCCTTAGCATTCTATTACAAACAGATTCTTTCATTAATCAGTGTATTCACAAAAATATTAAGCAGGAGTTAATTTAAATTATTTTATCCTTTAGATTCGTGTTCAGCAACGTCCACTAACAACATATGAACATTTCCCCTCCAGGAAACCCAAGGCCTCTGTATTTCGTGTACAATAATTTAGTGCTGCAACTGAGTGTAACGGAGAGGCATAATTGTTCGAGAGCCATCCGACTCTAGGTCTTGCAACATCTCTTCGCCTTCCTTCCTCATATTTCAGTACTCTTTCCTATTTTATTCCAATTCAATCATGATTTCCAATCATAATATTCTATATCAGAAAAAAATTCTTCAATTCATATTTGCATTTCCCGATATTTTGTTCAATCTCGTGCAATGTTTTGCTGTCCGTGCACGTTTGGTTCTACAGTCTTCCTTTTTCCCTTGTTCCTGGGCAATACCGGAATTTCAGAGACCTTTTATAACTTGCTTCCGTTGCCTTTCTATTTAGAGTACTTTCCATGGTTCCTTTCCAAAATCTTTCTACGAATTTCTTCTTAGGAGCCCACGGGATGTCCTGGTCATTTATATGTTGTCAAGAAAACAAATTCATTTCACTGGATGCTATGAGAATTCGGGACACAATGGGCCGTTTTCTGGTTCTGTTACGCTTTAAGGGTAACAACGGGAACTCCTATGTGGATTGACGTGAAGATATCAACGAGGAAAGTTGGACGTGAAACATGATTATTACTGGAGATCTTTCCGGGCATTGTTGTGATGACAGAGAGTCTGCTGCTTTCTCAATAGGGCGCGAGAACTTGAGGACTCTCAGCGCCTAATTGGATCTCTCCTACGCCAATAATGCCCTCCAATACGGAATCTGTTTGTCACGCACACAAAGCCATTCAGAACCATTTTAACATATTTTTCTTGAATATACAGTAAGACGAGTCGGAATACCTCAGTCGGTATAGCAACGCGCTGGACGGCCGGCGTTCGATTCCCAATAGAGCATAGAATTTCGCTTCTCCCGAGGTCCAAACTGGCTCTGCGGCCCACCCAGCCTTCTATCCAATGGGTACCTAGGGTCTTTCCCCCCGGGGTACAGTGGCCAGGGAGTGAAGCTGAGGACTCGCCTCCATCTAGTGCTGAGATCAAGAATGGTGGAGCTATACCTCCACTCCTTTAACAGACCTTCATGGCGTTGTGTTCAATTAATTATGCACAGCGACAAATTTATCTCTTTATATCTGTTTTCATACAATAAGATAGCTTTATTTTACCACCATATTTCTGCCTCTGTACTGATATGTGAACCGTGAAGTATAGTCTCTCCTGCTGTGATAGGTCGCGTAGTTTAGTAGAAGTGTAGCGACGTTTTGGAGGAACGTACTGCCGCCATCTTCAGGACGGAAGAGCAAGCCATGCAAGCTGCAATCAAACGCCACAGTCAAGACCTCAAATCCCACAACTCGTGAACCGCATGAGGCATCTCCACGACGCGAGGCCATTCGAGTGAGTCAACCTTTACAAGAGGTTCGCGCAACGATCACACTCTGGACTTGGGCACGGGAGGTGCTCGCTTCGAATCTCAACCGGGACACCTGTTATCTTGAGCTTTTTTCACAGGTTTCCTCTCGATCCCTCAAGGCAAAGACCGGGACAGTATTGTATTGAATTGTATTGGAGAGGGTGGGTTTCCCCATGCACTTAGACCATCTGTTGGTCCATTGTGCGTCCCCCTATGATATTCTACCAGTCTCTATTCCCTACCGGTACTGGTGCGTGCCATCAGTCCCTACTCAGCCAGCGAGTCTCTACTGGCTCAGCGGTATCTCGATGCTTCCCCATCTACCAAAGGCGTTAGAGACTACTGTTGGGCGGGAAATGTCCTGAATTTGGCTCAGTGGTCCCCTTGGGACATGAGGTTCTTTTACGTGCCGTAAAGCTACGACACGGGAATTCCCGTCCCTGAATTTTTCCGCCATTAAAAATTCCACGACCTCCTCCGGGTTTGAATCCGCGTACCTTGAGTCACGAGGTGGGAACGTTACCCCTAGACTACGGAGGCCGCTAAGACCGGGACAGTACTCTGATTAGCTCATTACCGTTTCCCTCCAAATCCTTTCCAATTCATTTCCCACACTATGCAGCATAGATCCTGCCAACATCGAAAAATCGACCAGAATGAATGAGTGGACCAACCTCGATTATTATTAATTCCCTAGGATCAATAACACAAACATGGCGTTCACGCGAACTTATGAAATTTGAGGAACACTAGCGCCGTTAGTACGGGCTCTTGAAATGTTGTGTGGTGAGAGATCTGAGTAGAATATCAAATTGTTATTAAGGCAGAATCTTCTATAAGCCGTTCATACGAGTCTAGTGCGTTCCTGAGAACTCCACTACAATTCGAACTGTTGTAATATAAACATCAATTTTACGTGAACAGAAGTACGTTCCAGCACTTCGGAAACAAACACATCCCAAGCCTTATTTAGGCTATAAGTTAATAGTTTAAGACCCAATGCGAGTCATAAATTGTATAGAAAACAATTCAAGATTTAAAACAATTAACATATTAATACGAACAAGCCGGACGATCGAGGATTCGATTTATGATGAGGTAATTTGATTTTTAAGTTGATCTAATCCTTCCAGTCGCCACAACTAATTAAGCACTATGACATGAAGGTGTATGGGGAATGGATGTATAGATCCACACCTTCCTTCACCTCGGAACTAGCTAGAGGCGACGCTTCGGCCGCTTTACCCCGAGGGAAAGAGTCACAGTACCCATTGGATAGGAGGTTGGGTGGACCCCAGAGCCGGTCTGGATGACGTGGAGAACAGGAATGAGGGCCAGAACTTAATTCGATCACGGTATATAACCAAATAGTATTGAGAGGCACAGATTTCAGTACTCAAGATGGCCACTATAGTGTGCTGATAACGCAGACAAGCCGTGTCGGTCTGCTGGACATCTGAAGAAAATATGCAAAGTAAGCATATGCGGACCACTGATGGATCTGGGAACTCGGATATCCGGAACACAATCTAGCTAACGTTGTCTTAATGTCATAAGTCTTGGTTTAATGGACGAAACGTCGAAAAAACGAAAAAAAAAAACAAGGCAGGCGCAGTATTAAGTAAGTGTGTAGGTTCTCATGGCGGTACTTCTGCTATGTGATGCCTTGAAGCTAAGTATTTAGGCTCCGTGTTTCGGAAGGTCCGGGTGCCCTCTTCTGATCTGACGATTGAGGAAGCAGTTTCCTTCGAAACGTTGGTGTCTCTCTACAAAGCTGTGTGGTGTCATATACCAAACATTCTGAATCTTGAAACAAACATTTTAGCAATCGCATACATAAAAATGTTTATTTCAGTCAACACAACAACTTACAGAAAATATGGAGATGGCCTATTTACACGAAGCTCGTATATCTGAGGCACAATATATTTCGACCCCTAATGGGTCAACAGCCGGTCACGGTAGCCGAGCGGTCTAAGGCATGTACTGTCTTCGCTCGCTTGGAAACCGGGATCGTGGGTTCGAATCTCATTCAGGGCATGGATGTTTAGTTTATGTGTGTGCGTTTTTCTGTGTTTGTGTACAGGTAGAGGCCTTGCGACGAGTTGATCACCCGCCTAAGGAGTCCTACCGAATGTGTAAGATCGAGAAAAACCGAAGTGAACGGAGAAGTTCATGGAGGTAGGCCTAGGCCCACTGGAGCTGTAGTGCCAAGGAAAAAAAAAATGGGTCAACATCAGGTGCTGATTCATCTTAAATGCTAAACTTATACATAATATGGATCCATATTGTAGGGTTGTTCTCTGTTTTGATGTTAAACTTATCATAAGGTCCTCAAAGTTAAAATTAATATTAATTGATTAAGACGATTATTGAAAATTATTGACATCAAATTTAAGATGCATATCATTCCTCGGGTATGCCGCTCGTGGACTGTTGCGTGGAGGAGTCGCTGTTTGGTTGCTGTGTCGCGTGAAGTTGTCGCGACGCTGCTCTAATGATAACACCGCATGGGTTACAGTCTGTGACTATCTGTGTGTTAGATAGTGTGTTTATGGTTGTACTTCTTGAAGCATGAAGTGTTCCGGCTGGCTTGTGGTTCATGTCTGGGTAGTCTGAATGTTGGGTTCAGTACTAATACGAGGTAGGTGAGTTATGACGGGAATGAGGGGGAGGGGGGTATGGTAAAAAGTAAAGGTAAAGTTACCCCTGTAACAAGCCGTGGTTGCCCGTAGAGTTGTGAGATGCTGAGGCTCCCACATTTTCTAGACCGTCGGCTCACAGATGGTTGTGAGGTTATCAGCCTTAATGGCCGGCCGCCCTTTACCCCCAGGAAAATTCCTGGTACTCATTTC